TTGGCTTGCAGGTCTGGGAAGAAAATGGCACCCTCCGATGGAAACGAGGAAGTCAAATTCCGGAAGCCCCTGATGTGTTGACCTGGCGGCGCGTATTTTCATTGTGTGGGAAACTTGTTGGACACTTCCCAGTGTGTGGATGGCTCAGGGTGGCAGTTGCATTCGTCAAGCGCCTGGCAACCGCAGCAACCAATGGATGGGATGATAACATCAAAGATCCCTCTCTCTGTCGCATACTAGCAGAGATTTTAAGTAGAGTGCGGGAACTGGATCCCGTCGGAGGAGACTGGTGCATGAGTGGTGACGAGATCACAGTCTGGGTGGATGCGAGTTCCGTGGCGACAGGAGTGGCATTGGAAGTAAACGGAAATGACATCGAAGATGCGTGCTGGCTGCGTCCGACTAATGATGCCAGGCATATTAATTTGGCTGAACTCGATGCGGCGATTAAAGGAGTGAATCTAGCTCTCCAGTGGGAGGCGACAACGTTGCACTTGGTTACTGATTCGGCGTGTGTGCACCGGTGGATTTCAGACACCTTGACCGGGAAGGCACGGGTGAACACAAGGGCGGCTAGTGAGATGCTGGTCAGGCGACGGCTGGGCATTTTGCGATCGCTGGTGGAAGAATATGGATTGACCGTAGACGTGACACTCGTGCAGTCCTGTCAGAACCGTGCGGATCGCCTCCAGAGTACCGCACATGTGGCTAGAACTGCTCAAGAGAGGAGAACCGGCACTCGAGAGCTGTGCAGTGGCAGGGAGACGACTGGATGAGGACCAGGTTGCCAATACGCATCGTCAATGCGGACATCCGGGCGTGAAACGAACTCTGTACTTCGCCAGGTTGGTCGACCTGCAGGTGTCCAGAGAAAGCGTTAAATCCGTTGTGAAGGCCTGCACAACCTGTCAGTCGATCGATCCGGCACCCGTTCACTGGGAAAGAGGAGAACTGAGCGTGAAGAGCAACTGGAGCAGACTGGCAATGGACATAACTCACTACAATGGTGAGAATTTTTAACACTCATTGATTGCGGACCCCTCCAGGTTTGCGGTATGGCGGCCGCTGCGCAGACAAGACGCGAGCACCGTCATTCGACTGTTGGAGAATGTTTTCCTGGAGCGAGGCCCACCCGTGGAAATACTGACGGATAACGATACTGCGTTCACCAGTAAAGATTTTAAAAATTTGCGGACACTTGGGAAGTGCATCTGCGGTTTCGATGTGCCTACTCGCCAAGTGGAAACGGCATCGTGGAGCGGAACCACAGAACCATCAAGACCATCGCAGCCAGGAAGGGCTGTACAGTATCGGAAGCGGTTTACTGGTATAATGTCGCCCCGAAAGATAACATTTCACCATCCACGGCGCCGGCTGATGCACTGCACAAATATCATGTCTGCGTGAAAGGCATCGAAGCCAACCCGCTGCCTGAACTAGAGGTGACTGGAGGGAGATTGAAAAAAGGAGACGTTGTTTGGGTCAAAATCCCACGCGGCAAGTGTACGACAAAGTACGGCACTGGACGTGTTACGGAGGTGATCAGCCCGCAATCTGTGAGAGTTGATGGGGTGCCTCGTCACATTAAAGACTTGTGACCGGTGATGCAATCACTACCGCTACCGAGCGATAAAAGCGATTCCGAGTCTGGGAGTAGTGAGCGTTCAATCTGCCTTGAGTTAGACCTGCAGGGCAGTGATTCTGATAACAGCAGCATCCCGGCGGACACAGTGTTTACCGACACTCAAACCACAGACGAGAACACGCACGAGGATGAAGCTTGTGTTATCCCCCTTCGGAGGGGGACTCGACGGCGACGATCGCCACCTCCCTGCCCTGTTTGTGATCATGAGATCAGGGGGGAGTGTGGGGAAAATTGTGAAAATGGCTTACCTCGGAAACGCGTTCGAATCTGCGCAGTAGGCAAACTCTGGTCCTTCCAACGGTAAAAGAAAACCCAAAATGGCGGCGCCCACGTTTTATCCCGGGCGGTCTCGGTTAGTTAAATCGAAATCTCGTTGTCTCGTCATTCGCATGCAAATCGTGGTCGGTCCGCGGCTGTATAAAGCAGGCTCGTTTTTGCTGTTTCAGATCAGAGGGCTTTCGACTCGTGAGACGGTTGGACGTGCGACACCGGTTTTCTTTGTGCCTACCTGCTATCATCAGTTGAATTGTTGCGTTACACTCCACAGTTGTAAATATCATTTTCCCATTCAGCTGGGGATTTTTATATATATATATTTTTTTAAGTTCTTTACAGATAGCTTTGTGATAGTCGTCGATGTTATAGCAAATATAAGTTGCCAGTTTTATGAGATTCGATGAGGATTTTATGAGTATTACGTATCTTGACAATGTCTTTGTTTTCATATTCCTCTGAAGGTTGTTATGTTTGGTTACGTATTTAATTCTATTTATTACAGAGAATAAGTCTTTTTTTCAAATTCTAGGAGAAGGTCATCGCTGTGTGGTGTTTTCAGGGACTTAAATCCGAAGGAATAGATTGTGGTATTCCCTTTTGACAAAATATAGTTCCCATCTCATTCTACTCACGACACTCTCAATTTTGTGTAATAAGCTGAGGTTAATATTGGTTCCTTTTAGGGACGCTGATGTTTTTACTGAAGTAGACGACAATAAATAATTCCATCAACCAGTAACGTATAAGATAAAGTATAAAGCTTCTTTGGTGTACACCTAAGATAGTGTTCGACGTAAAGAAGCAATTTATAAATATAGAGGTGGGTAAATGAAATAACTAGATATTATCAGGTAAGCAAATAAATATTCACTAAATTTACTTTACTAAATCTACGTGTAATTTATTAAGATATATTTCTTTCGTCTAACCACATTGAGCACTATTATGTTTACACCTTAAAGTAAATTCAGTAAATATTTATTTGCTTACCTGGGTATGCGCGCATATACGGTTGATACTATCTAGTTATTTGATTTATCCACCTCTATACCTATACATACATACACATATATATATATATATATGTTGGTGCATGTTTCATTAAATAATATAGACAAGTTTTGTCTATTTATTTTAAGTAAATTCCTTTCATACTGTCTGATAAGCTTAATAACATTATTATTGAAAGATGAAAGAAAATCACCATATTGATACATTTTTTTTTAATTCTATCTAAGCTTTCGGCTTACATAAGCTATTGTCAAAGATGACAATTACATTTCAATATATTAAACAATACACGGACAAAACAATAATGATTGTCTTTGTTGCATGAAAGATTTCCAAGCAACGACAAACTCATGTATACGAGACGCGGAAGCGAAAATCACACCGCAGTTCGTGACGTCACACGTGACCACGCGAAAACGAGAAGTATTAAGGATGGGAAGCCTTTGGTATAAACCAATGGCTTCTGTTATCAATTATGGGCTTTTAAGAATATTTGTGGAGATTTCATAGTTTATTTATTTAAAGAAATATGCATCAATGGAAAATGCTGCCTAAATACATATATATATATATATATATATATATATATATATATATATATATATATTAAAGGTAATAAATCCATTGGCATATAATTCAAGTAGATATTAAAACTGATCCACAAAAAGAGTTCAATCTATTTATTATAATAGAGCCAATAATTAGTATTACACAACAAAATCCAAAATTACCTCAAATGGGGCATAGATCTATGTCAACCGACAGTGTATAGACGGGGTTGAATATTTATATATATATATATATATATATATATGTGTGTGTGTGTGTGTGTGTGTGTGTGTGTGTGTGTGTGTGTGTAAGCATTTCACCCCAAGCAAGGCAAGGAGTGCCACTAGCACGCAAGGGCTTACGGAGAGTGAATGTGAAAGAAAAGATTTGGCGTAGGGGAGATTGAGGAAAGGAAAAAAAGGGACAGGCAACAGAAGATGGCTACGTTGCATTTAAATTTTTGAAGATTGTATATATCACATATCACAAAATCAAGTTAGACGAAAGGAGTTCCAACGTCACGAAGTGCGAGGAAAGAAACTGTTGTAGCTGAAGTGGCGGGTTACATTTAACTATGTGTCTACCTATTAGCACGCTTAAATTCATACAGTCGGGGCACCGGGGGGGGGGGAACTCGTCGGAACAGTAGCCATGAAAATATTTGTAAAAAAGAAAGAGGGAAGTCACATAACGTTTGTGAGAAAGTGTCTGAAGTCGAGAATCGAATTCAGGACCGATTACTTTACAAATCCTTCTTTGGATCTTGCTGAGAACCTTAAGATGAACGGCAGTGCCACCGGATGAGATTTAGCAACAGTATACACTTAATTGTTGTGCTTTTATTGTCTTACCTCCTTAATAATGCATTTTTATCATATTCTCTAACACTCATTAACCTCTTGCATTTTAGTGGCTTTATTGCCTTGCTTGGAGTGAAATGATTAAAAAAACAAAATTGAACACTGTTACTAAAGACTATTTATTATGAGTAGTGCGATTAATTGTCCTTTATCTATACAACACTGACTTGTATTTTTTGTTTATATAGACCATGTCACTGGAAACATGCTTCGCTAAATTAGAAATGAAATTAATTAAACATGTTCAAAACGTAGCTTTTTTTTTTCATTCATCCGCGCCTCAAGATAACATGTGCTAATTAGATTTTAGCGTTTCGGCTTACGATCATATCACGTTGAAACATCAGTTCTCGTAGGTCACCGAAGATAAGCAACGTCGAGGCTGGTCACTACCTACATAAGTAACCTTTTTGAAATACCAGATGCTGTAGGCTTGGAGGTACGGAGGGTGTGGCTTACGGGTCTATCACGTTGAAACATTGGTTCTAGTAGGATCACCAGGCGCTGTAAGCTTGGTCATGAGGAGGTTATGGTTTACAAGCATATCGATCACCGAAGTTAAGAAACGTCAAACCTGGTCACTACCTAGTGGGGTAGCCTCTTTGGAATACCAGGTGCTGTAAGCTTGGACGTACGGAGGGTATGACTAAAAGACATATCACTTTGAAACATTGGTTCTCGTGCGATCACCGAAGTTAAGCAACGTCGAGCCTAGTCACTACCTAGATAGGGAACCTCTTTGGAATACCAGGTGATGTAAGCTTGGACTTGCGGAAGGTATGGTTTACAGGTATATCCCGTTGAAATATTTGTTGTCGTACAGTCGCCGAGGTTAAGCAACATCAAGCCTGATCAGTAACTTCATGGATGACCTATTGGAATATTCAGCGAGGCCATTATGAAAGAATTAGAAATCTTACCAGGATTCGTTATTGACGGCCACAATCTTAATAACATGACATATGCCGATGATATTGTGTTGATAGAAGATGCAGAAAGGTAACTACAAGTACTCCTACTGAAGGTAGTGAAAGAAAGCGAGAAGAAAGGACTAAACATCAATTGCAAGTAGATTGAATGCATTGTTATTAGTAAAAGTAACAGTCCAAATGACTAATTACACACCAAAAATACCGAAATCGAATAAATGCAACATTTTCTGGGAAGCGTTTTAACAAAGGACGGAAAATGCGACACGGAAATCCGAAAGCTCATTTGATTAGCGAACGATGCCTTCAAAATGCAATGTATTAAGAAAAAAAGAAAAATATCGTTAAAAACAAAGAACTAAACTTTTATGAAATGTCAGTCCTCTTATATGGCAGAGAATCTCCTCACAGATGAAGATGAGACTTGAAGCAACAGAAACAGAGAAAAGTGTACTGAACTGTTACGTAATATCAGTCCTCCTATATGACAGTGAATGCTGGACAATCTCCTCACAGATGAAAATGAGACTTGAAGCAACAGGAACAAAGAAAAGTGTACTGAACCTCTATGTAATGTCAGTCCTCCTATATGGCAGTGAATACTGGACAACCTCCTCACAGATGAAAATGAGACTTGAAGCAACAGGAACAAAGAAAAGTGTACTGAACCTCTATGTAATGTCAGTCCTCCTATATGGCAGTGAATACTGGACAGTCTCCTCACAGACGAAAATGAGACTTGAATCAACAGAAACAAAAAAAAGGGTACTGAACTGTTATGTAATATCAGCCCTCCTAAATGACATTGAGTTCTAGACAATCTCTTCACAGATTACGAAGAAACATGCAACCAAAGAAATGATATTGACAAGACCGTGGACCGAACCTGTGGGCAAAGAGAAAGTTTTAGGAACAACAAAAAGAACACTTCTACTTAATATCATAAAAAAGACAGTTAAAAATTCTAGTGCACATAATGAGGAAAGTGGCCCTGAAAAATTTGATCCTCACAGGACGGATTGGAGGTAAGAGAGAATGACAAAAGCAACGCATCACCTACCTGACGAGCTTGAATGAACAGATGGCGTAGGATTTATGCGAGATAACAAAATGACAAAAGTTATTAAGAGCACTAAATGAAAAGAAAGTGTGCTGTGCCATTATCGCGATCGTCTTGAAAGGACAAGGCAAATAATAGAAAAATAATTTACTTTACAGAAAAAAATGACAATCGATTTCACTCATGCTTTCCTAAATGAATACGAATAATCAATGTAATTTACTATTTCATTTCTGAGATGAGTAATTGTCAATATTCTTGTATTATTTCGAACAATCTTTTTCATCTTGGTTGATATAGATGTTATTATAGACACAACATTTCAACTAATTACATACACGAATGTCCTGGGTATAACGATAGACTATATCCGGTAGCAAGTCTACTGAGCGAGAGATTGGAGATTTTGAGGAGTGTGGATCCACCTCTTAATTGCTTATGTTCCCAGGTCCACTCTGACCCCGGGTGGTAGCTCCTGTTAGGGTCCCAGCTATGGGCACAAACAAAACACTATGAAAACAAGACACTATGAAAGTATAAAAATACATTTTTATGGTAAAAATACCAGCAATAGATTTTTATATTTAAAAAAATACCATCATTACATACATCCGTGTGTAAATTAATTGAAACAACCATTTTAGTTTCCTTTTTTTCATTATACAGTCAGTTTTAGACCCACTCGAGTGACAGGGTGTGATCGATTTCTATTTTTCTCAGATTTGCAGTGGTGTGCAAATAATGTTGATAATTACGCATATTCATAATTATTACCATGTATTCATTTTTACACATTTTCGGGGTATATGATGAAATTTGTTTGGCCTTGAAAAACATTGCGTCAGCCGTGATTGCATCCGATTTTTATCACGCCCAGACACTAATGTCTCGACTGTTGATTAATTGACCTACGGCCATTGTCTGTGATGGGCGTTACTCCAAGGAAGCGTACGAGAATTGTAATGTTGCAAGTCTTACCAGAGAGAAAATCAAAGTACTATAGACTGGCCCGGAAACTCTCCTGATTTAAATCCAATCGAGAATCTGTGATCAATGACTAAGAAAAGGCTTCGTGCAATGGACATACGAAATATTAACGTGTTCACTAGGGCATGTTTCATTGGAAAATTCGGATAAAGTAAATAATAACAGAATTATTCGTTTTATTTCAATTAATTTGCACAAGTGTGTATTTAATAAAATTAGCAACAACAACGCACATATTAACAAATTGTAGCGAGTTCACCCAAATACGTTTAAAATAATTCCAACCAACCAACATAAAAGAACTCTTCCATGACATTAATCCGCATAATATCGTACAATTTCTTAAAGAAGTCAGACTGTATTCTAATATATAACTACTACATAAAACACACATATAACCCGTCTCTTGTAACCATGTCCAAACAACATGGCAATGCTTAAAAGCTCACTATTATCTACCATGTATTCAATTACGAAAACAAAACATATATCATATTTTATTCCAATTTCACAAGAAAATTACATTTCGGTATTTAATGACTCCCAATGAGTTAATACAGCGTTAAGCAAATAAATAAATCATAAACAAATATTGATAATTACTCATCTAAGAATTGTAAAACTAAATTATGAAACGTGTTACCAAATGTCAAAAAACAAAACATGACAGTTAATATAAAAGTCTCCAAAGACACAGCTTCAGGACAGTGGCGTAGTGATTATAGGAGTTCTTTATGCATGTGTTACTTTTATCTAATGATCATGAGTTCAATCCTTTGGCCTAGTAGAGAAGCACTAATTCGGCAGTAACGAACAATAACCTATATGTCATGGACATTAATCCACAGATATCAGTTAGTCGATTAACACCTGGTGATGGCCAGAGTGTACTTGTGTCTATAACAATATCTATACCAGCTAAATGAAAACAATAGTTCAAGATAATACAAGAATATTCAGCAATGGAATTTTAGCAAAATGTATGGCATTATTTTCTAATGTATGTCTAGATTCTGAGGAATTGTAACCATTTACGCTGTTTGAACTGTTCTCCTCATCTTTATTTCGCAGTAAAGATGAGGACTAAAGTCCGAACGATGTAAATAGTGTAAATTATAATTTTCTTAAAGTCAGATCCTAAATTTTCTTATGTTCCCATTACACCAGAAGCAACCTGCAAATAGTTGCTATTAATATCCTTCTTTTCCCCATTAGTAACACCTTTTGCAAGTACTGATTAAACGAAAAGAACAGCTTTTGATTGGGATGCATACTTTTCGACCTTTCGATCTGCATTATCTAACATCACTTTTAATTTCCGTGTTATATAATTTTATAAGCTTATTGCTTGCTTTTTTAAATTGTTTCGCTTCGGGAAGTCCAATTATAATGTATGTCGTCTTCTTTGCATTCGTTCTTTTTTGCAATAACCACGCTATGGCTTTCAGTATATTTTTCAGATGGGAAAACGTTTATATGTCAGCGTGTGTGCGATAATTAAGTTCAATGCCTTGATCAAAAAGGAAGATTGTCCATTTATTGCTTATGCAGCAAAAATAACATCAACAACGATGTCTACAGAAAAAAATTACTTTCATAAAACTTTCTTATCACTATTAATCAGAAGCAAAGAAACCGTGGATGTCGCGATTTTTTTTCTGATGCTATACAACTAGTGCTAAATATCAGATTTAGATACAGCAGCGACAAAATACACGCGATAAGACACGTGGAAGTTTAATTAAAGAAAAAAAAGGAAGCATTTGTGGCGCCTCGTTTTGAGATTATTTTAAGATCACTTTCATTGGACCGTGCTAGCCTTAAACCGGCGTTTGTCGGAAACAAATAAAGATGTGTTATTTATTGATTTTCGTGAGTCGATCAGGAAATTGGTGTTACAATGTCGACGAGAATTGATTGATTGGTTGATTAGAGTAGAACTCAGTAAAACGCTCTAAGCACACACACATATAGAGAAAGTGAGAGAGAGAAATAGAGAAACAAAGTTAAAAAAAACAGAGGACATGCAATGACTCTAAAAATACAGGATTATTAGCGTACTTAAAGTTAAAGGAGAGATTGCAGTTAGATAGGTTCATGAAATATCTTTTGTTAGACATCTTTTTGAGTCTACTAAAGTGTTGGTTGATTTTGTTTCGCGGCATATCAACACCTCTATAGATTATTTAATACCGAAATCTAGATATTTTGAACAATTTTATGGTTTTAACTAGATATATTTAGAACGCAATTGTATGTCTTCAACTACAAATAATATTTATTGTCATTTTACTTTACATATTTATTATTTGCCATTTTGCTATAAATATTTATTGTTGGACATTTTACTCTAAATATATATCGTTGAACGTTTTTCGTATAAAAATGTATTGCTGGAAGTAATAAAAATATGATATATGTTATTCTGCTTTCACTGTAATACTTAGCTTTTATGAATATACATTGTGTTGACATGATTACTAAAGGCGGCGATATGCGTGTTATATGTTGTAGTGTTGTTGAAGGCATATTTTGGAATACAGTTTGATTTCTTTAAGAAATTGCAGGATATTATATGGAGCAAAGTCATGAAAGAGTTCTTTCATGTTGTCTGTTTGGTCAGTTGCTTGGTTGATTTTGGTTAGAGGCATATCAACATCTCTAGGGGTTATCTAATGCCGAAATCTAAATATTTTGAAAAATTTTATGGTTTCAACTAAATATATTTTCAACGATTTTATGGCTTCAACTTTAAATAAAATTTATTGTTCGTTATTTTGTAATA